GAGGCGGAGGCGGAGGCGGAGGCGGAGGCGGAGGCGGAGGCGGAGGCACAGGCACAGGCACAGGCACAGGCACAGGCACAGGCACAGGCAGATCTCCGAGTTGGGGGACAGCCCGGTCTACAGAGCAAGTTCCAGGACAGCCAGGGCTACACAGAGAAACCTTATTTTAGGGGGGAAAAACCTCTCAAAACAAGCCCACCAATGTCTGAGGTTCTTACAACCATCCCATGAGCAGTTAGAATGTACTCCGTGAGCGGTGGCATCATTAGGTGGTACTGCTAATGTTGGGGTGAGCCTCCACCTCTGTCCCACCTGGCATGGGCCTCTCTTGCCAGGACAGTGGGGCAGGGATCCTGGAGGACTGTGGGAGGGATGCTTGGCTGGCCGACTGGCTGACCTGGGCGGCTCTTCTGCCCACAGGCACTTCGAGATGCTTCAGTGCTGATCTTCGCCAACAAGCAGGATGTGAAAGACTCCATGACCACAGCAGAGATCTCCCAATTTCTCACACTCAGTGCCATCAAAGACCACTCATGGCATATCCAGGGCTGCTGTGCCCTCACAGGAGAAGGGTCAGTCTCCCACCCTCACCTGCCCTGGCCCGTCCAGTGGGTAGAAGGTTACCGAAACCCTCCTCTTGTCTCTTTCCAGTCAGAATCTGGCCCACAGTTGGCTCCAGGCCCAGTAAGATGGACACAGGTCCACAGCTAAGGTGCAGTGAGCCTGCAGAACACCTGTGCCCCAAGGGTTTGCTCTAATAGTGATAAAGGCTAAGACTCCCCAGAAACAACAGTGGTTTTAGGGACTGAGAAAATCTTTGGAGAAAGTAGAATGGATAAAGTGGAGAAGAGTCAAGAGTTAGTCTGACTTTGTCTTCTTGGCAGAGGAGAGCTAAGACACAGTGAACAAGAAGGAGGAGAAAGCAGAGGAGGAAGAGGAAGAAGAGGAGGAGAAGAAGGAGGGGAAGGGAAAGGGAAAGAAGGAGGAGGAAGAAGAAGAGGAGGAGGAAGAAGAAGAGGAGAAGGAGGAGAAGGAACAGCAGCGGCTGCTGCAAAGGCCTCCTAGGGAGAGGCCCTCAGGGCAAAAGTCACCACCTCTGCCTTTCTCACTTGTAAGGGGAGTTCTGAAGAGTGATTAGCACGCTTTCTTCATTAGACTTTCTGAATACCTACTTGGTGCCAGAGACTATTCTGGGTATTGGAAAAAATGGTGGCTAGTCAACTAGGCAGAAATGCCTGCCTTGGAGCTGGGGGTGTGGCCTTGCATGAAGCCCTGAAATATTGCATACCTGTAATCCCAGCACTTGAGGTGTAGAAGCAAGAGGATTAGAAGTTCAAGGTTATTCTCCACTATATGGTGAGTTCAGGCTAGACTGGGCTACATATTAAGGCTCTGCCACAAACACCAAAACCAAAACAAAGACGCAAAGTGATGAATGGGAAGATGGAGAAAGGAAAAGATTAGAAATAGCTGGGGGAAACTCACAACTGTGTGTGTATGTGTGTGTGTGTGGGCGAACATGTGTGTGTGTATGCATGTGTGTGTGGGTGCATGTGCGTGTGTGTGTGTGGGGGGCGAACATGTGTGTGTGTGTGTGTGTGTGTGGGTGCATGTGTGTGTGTGTGTGTGGGGGGTGAACGTGTCTGTGTGCGTGTGTGTGTGCGTGTGTGTGTGTGTTTGCGCGCGCTTGCGCGCGCATACATACACTTGAATCAAACACTTCAGGACATGAAGGGCATTTTGACTTCTTCAAGATGGCTTTGCATGAGACCTGGAAAATTCCTTTCATCTCTCCTTGTCTGGACACTTTTTTGATGAAAAAGAAACTTTAAATAAGTAAATCCAAGGGACCACAGATGTCTGGCCATATGCTTGTCACCTGAGCCCATTAGGGACTCTCATGTCCAGTCTACAGTCTTGTTCACAGTACTCCCTGGGTCCCCATGTGCCATACCCTGGGCCAAGCTAGGCTGGGTGATGACAGACAAGGCCACGTTTCCATCTTTGTTCTGGAGGTGTGTGTCTCATTTCATGAAGAGCTTGCTTATGGAGCCCCTTGCCAAGCCTTTGAGGCCACCCTGCCACTGCCCCCAATGACAAAGCAGGACAACAAAAGGCTTGTCCAGAGATACTGCTCAGTGGCCCAGGAAGGAGAGTCCCCACAATGCCTTCTCAGAGGAGCCTCCGAGGCTCACAGAGGCCTCTGACTCCCTGTTTGTTAGGTTATTCTCCAGGCCCTTCTGCTAGGCTGTGAGCCTGGTAGGATGAGTGCTGCTCCCCAGGAGCCTCAGCCTCCAGGACAGTGGGAGCCGATGTGTTCTGGAACTCAGCTTGATTCCCTTCTACCATTAAGTGATTGAATACAACCTTGGCTCCTCTCTCAGTCTGTCCCAGGCAGAGGATTGGCGTTTTCCAGCCATCATCTTATGGGAAATGCTGATGGTCCTTTGTTCCGTTCCTCCCTCCCTGCAGGCTGCCAGCTGGGCTCCAGTGGATGCAATCTCAGGCCACCACCAACTGATGTCCCAGTCCGAGGCCAACCAGAAACCGCATGGTTAGCACCAGTGAGAAACACCAGTCATTTGTTGATGGAAAGAGGGTGGCTATGGACAGAGAGATTACTACAGTCCCCTCAACTGTCACTGAGAGCTGGGTCAATGACTTGAAGTTGGTGCAGACAGGACCACAGATGAAACTGTCTGTCACTGCTGGTGTGAGGAGACACCAGGGAACTTGCTGGGGGTGTTGGGGACATCAGGTCTCTCCCAGCTCTCTCCTGACTGCCCAGCAAGCGGGAGATCTTGGACATTGTTCCATAGCCACTGGACAAAGGAGATTCTGATAAAGGAGTAGGACCTGGCCAAAAGCTGGGGATATGGAGGTGGGGTGGAGAGTTGATGAAAGGGAGGATAGAAGATTCCAGACAGACAGTCCTTCACACTGCAGGATTCAAAGCCCCTCTACCCCCACCGGCTGGATTTCCTGCTCCCTCTTAGATACTGACTCTGACCACAGCTTTCGGGGCCTAAGTCACCACGTGGAACCTCCTTCCCTCTCAGCGTCCTTCCGGTGTGAGCCCTACTCATCTGAAATGTCAAAGAGTTCTATAGGACCTACTTCTTTTGTCTTTGTGTCATGATTTTTTTTTAAAACATCGCATTATGATTTAAAAAGTAAAGATACATAATGAGTGTCCCTGAAAACGCCCCACCTCTTAGTTCTGTCCCTCAAACTGACTTTGTTATTTGCGGAAAGGTTTGGGGAAAATCCACCTTGGAAATGGGGTTCGGGAGGGGTGGACTGCCACAATGATCCATTTGGCTAGAGAACTTGGCCAAGTTAAAGGGCATTGGCACCAGCTAACCAGGACGGGGGTTCTTGGCTCTAGTGGGGATAAGTGGCCTGATAATGATCCACTGAGAAGGGGATCCCAGGGAGATGGAAAAGCCCTTGAGTCATTTAAAGGCGGTGCTAAAGATGGATTGAAGGCCCATGATGTCCTTCTATATTCAGGAACCGAGACAGTATAGCCTTTCCCCTTCTCGAGCAGGCAGGGGACCTCTGCGGGACCCTGGGCAGAGATACCAAAGACCCAGATCTTTAATTTTGTAGTTTTCCTGAGATGCGGTTATGAAGGGAGAGCTTGTGAACTATAGACATTTCAGTCATACTTTGGATTTTCATTAAATTTTCCTTGATATAACGAAAATTTTGGAGCACAGTGAATATTACCATGCCGCGCACTCATAGAAATCTATTACAAAGAAATACATTCTGGGGAAGGCAGGTCTACGGATCGGGGGTATAGCTCAGTGGTAGAGCATTTGACTGCAGATCAAGAGGTCCCCGGTTCAAATCCGGGTGCCCCCTCGCGGTCACTGGCCGTGTAACTTTTGCTATCAGCTCACCTAGCTTGAGACCTTAGAAGAGAGATGCGGGACTCCCCAAGCTACTCCATTTTGCTGGCGTAAGCTGTCCAATTGGGCTGCAGTTAAGTGTACGTCCCTGGCCGAAGTGTGACGCGAACCTAGTGTCCAAGCCCACCGTATGATTCCCCTAGGCAGCAGCTCGTGACCCGCAGTGCGCGCCGTGCCGGTTGGCGTATTCAGGTGCGGGCGACCTCCACGCCTGTCCCTTAGGGTTGGGGCCAGGTTGGAAGCAGAAGGTCGGGAGAAGTCGCGTCAGCGTGTGGGAGGGAGAGAGAACGCGGAGAAGCGGCGGCGGAGCTGCAGGATGGGACCCCGCCCAGAGGAGAGCGAGGCGTCGCCTTTATCTTCTGGAGGACGTATTCTTGTGCCTTCAGAAGGAATCTCAGATTATCAGGAAACAGCTTTTGTTTTGAGGCTAGTAATCTGGCACGTCTGTTCCTTGTGTTTCTTATTAACTTCCAACTAGAGTCGCCTTTTAGAGATGCTTTAGTGCGCCTGCGCTAGAATAGCACTAAGTAGTAACTGGCGCAAAGTCACCAGCAGAGGGGGTATAGCTCAGTGGTAGAGCATTTGACTGCAGATCAAGAGGTCCCCGGTTCAAATCCGGGTGCCCCCTGGTAGATCTTTACACTTTTCCTTCCTTCCTTAACTGACTTTCTTACATCCTGCATTTTTTTTATGGTAATATTTCCCTCGCCAACTCCCAAACAATAGGGAAGCGGTGACGGTTTGAAGAAACCGGGAATTTCTAGGGCAGTGCCTCTCCGAGTGTGCCTAGCCCCAACACTTGGACCCATGCAAGACGTGAAGATTCCTGGCCTCATCTCTGACCCAGTGAACTCTCCTGGGGTCGGGGTAGAAATGTGAGTTCTGAGAAGTGCTTCCCCTGCATGCTCAAGTTCTAGAGGCTTACGTTCAGAAACTTGTCCACGTCGTTTGGTTCTAATATTTCCAAGTTGTTGACTTTGCCTGAAACCCTAATAAAAGACTTTATGATGGAGCGCGGGCACCGAGACTGACCGCGCACGACGACACCAGAATTGAGGCTGGAGATCCCTCTTGGGACGTATAGCGGCCCTCCGCGGCGCCTGCGCAGGCAGTCGCTTAACTCTTCGCTCGGCTAGCCCGCAGCCCCGTGGCTCATCACGAGTCCACTGGGTGGCGGTAGGAGGCCACAGCTGTAATGGGACGGTTTCTTCGCTCCCCCAGAGGCTGTCCTGGGAGAATTGAGGCAAGGTATTAAAAATTCAATGGCTGGCTGGGTTTGGTGGGCTCACGCTTGTTATCCCTTCAGTAGGCTGAAACAGGAAGAGTGATCGTGAGTTCGAGACCAACCTGGTCAATGGCGTTACTCCTTGTCTGGAAAAACAACCAAAAAACCCCTTTAGTTGAGGGGCTTGCCTTGGCTCATAATATTCTATCGAGGTCTTGCGGAGGTCAGCTCTAGGCTTTTGAACCCAGAGGAGAGTGAAACTGAGATTCTGAGAGATTGAGAGAATTTAGTCTTCATTTCCTTCCTCGGTCCTTTTTTGGACCTCAGTACCAGGCCACCTACCTACTCAAACCCACACCCTACTTCTGTCCCCAACTGCGTCCTTCTTCCCCGGATATACCCCATGAAACAACCTATGTACCCTTTCTTTCTGCACTCTCCAGGTTTCCGGCGCCGAGGAAGCCAGGGCCCCTCAGCCTTCTCCACTCTCTAGGCCCCAGTTCTTCGCCTTCCCGCGAAGTAGGTCACAGGCACCTTCGTGCCTTGACCTGATTCCATGCCGTCTATTAAATCTCCTAAATTGCGGGTATTTTTATTCCATCCTGGTAGAGAAAAAGGAAGTGTCCTATTCCCAGAGTCCGGTAGAGTGTGGTGGCAGTGGGCGCCACTTCTGGCTCTGGGTCTAGCTTGGACTGATCTGTCCTTCCTGGGGAGGGGGCACCCGAGCTGTTTCGGAGTGGGAATGTGCCAGACTCCAGCACCTACACGTCTGCTAGACGGGGGCGAGGTCTGAGGAGAGTCGGTGCAGGGGATGGGGTGTGAAGCAGTCAAGCGAGGAGATGCAATTCGCGCCTTTTCTGGGGCAGAAGCTGGGGGGTGGGAGTGGGGGGACTCGGCTGCGGGAGACTCCTGGTGCGTGTCTGTGTGTGCGCTTATGTAGAAGACCAGGAAGCCACGGAAGTGCAAGGACCGGCTCAGAAAGTCGCCCGCTCTGGGGATGGGTGGTGGGAGCCAACGGGCCCAAGTAGCGGTGCTTCCTGGGGTCCTCCGCCTCGGCCTTTTCCTCAGGTTTCTGGGAGGCAGTGGGGGTCTCTCGGCCACCAGAGATGTCTTAGCGCCGTCCTGGGTCCTGTGGGGTGCGGCGCGGAGCTCCGGGAGGCGGGGACCCCGCCGTCGCGCCCCGCCCTCTGGGTCCTCCCGCCCGCGCTCCCCAAGGCCGCAGCGCCGTGCTTCGCTCGCCGTGCCCGCTCCGCGCCGGCTCTCGCTCCCCGCGCGCCCACCCCGGGGCCTCTCCCTCTGCAGCCGCCGCCGCCGCCGCCGCGCAGACCCGGAGGTCGTCCGCGCCCACCATGCGGGCTCAGCTCTGGTTGCTGCAGCTGCTGCTACTCCGCGGGGTCGCCCGCGCGCTCAGTCCCGCAACACCCGCAGGTAGGATGCGCGGCCAGGGCAGGTGCAGACCCGCCAGCAGGACCCGGGTGCTGTCCGCAGGATGCGGTGGATAGGGGACAGGGACCCTTCTTTCCCTGTGCGCACCCTCTGTGCGCCTGCTGTCGGAAGGACTTGGAGGGACCCAGCCCAGGGTCCCCAGAATAGTCACAGGGACCTGCGATCATTCCAGAGAGGCGTTTGCTTTTCTTTTCCGTGCTCTTCTCTGCTGCCTCCTTCAACTGCTCTAGGTGGGGTCCCAGTTAGGCTTGTGACTGCGTGGGAGCTGCCTGAGGATGGGAGACATCCTGGCACCAGCGTGGCCGTCTAACTTGCTTCTCTGACTTACTGCGTACTGATGGAGAAGCAGGGATCCCAGGAAAAAGCAGCTTGCTGCTCCCCGATCTCCCAGGGTCAAGGGTCCCCTTCTTCCTCCTGCTTGGTTCTGCTTGGCTCTCAGTTGCACTGGTTGTGCGTGGAGACAGGGGGTGAGGGTGGAGGAGGAGCTTCCATTCTGCACAGTCCTCTTTAGACCAGTTCCCCAAGCCGTTTCCTCCTCTTGGAGAGCCTTTCAGAGATCTACTTTGAATCCCTCATGTTATCAAGAAAGGCCGCTTTTAAATATATCGTTTAGGTTCTACACCCAGGCTTACTCGGGGTTGGAGGGCTGGGAATAAGGGTGATTTTTCAAGCTCCTTAAAAGAGAATTGAGTGTCCCACACTTGGAGTCAGGGATGGGATAGTTCATGGGGTGCTGCTGTTGGCTGTTGTGTCAGCATTATGCCTAACTGTGTTCTTGACTTTGATGGTCACCGTATGTAGTCCAAATGAATCTGGGTTGGGTGAGATGGACGGATGGAGGATGCTGGTGGTGACCGCGGGGGCAGAGGACAGAGAAGTCACATGTCTAGAGACTAGTGTGGAGCTATCGGTGTTCAGGGAGGCCCCCACAGAAGGTACCTGGACACTTGGCTTTTAGTTCTGCTGTCTCACTTGCTGTGTGACCTTGGACAAGTTACTTACTTTCTCTGGGCTGGGTTTTTGATTTATAAAAAGAGGTTATTGACAAAATCCTCGACTCTTGGAAGTGGAATTATGAAAGTTTTTTTTTTCCCCCTTTCCTTCTCAAACATGTACAGGCAACTGATAATTTATTTTAAAACTGTAACTAGGAAGGGAATGAGTGGGTTAATTTCTGAGCTCTTCTCAGCCTTAGCCTGGTGTGTTTCCTGAACTCAGATATGGCTGGGTTGATGAGGAGTTTGGGCTGTGGAGAGGGTTGAGGAAGGGAGTCGGCTACATCAGGGGGCCCAGGGACATGTGTCACTTTTCTAAGTACAGACTACTCAGCCTTCTCTGTTTTTAGATTCATCTAGAAGACAAGGAGCATCTGCAGCAAGTGAGATTGAGGTTAGATCATAGGCAGCTGTAAAAAGCCATCAGGGCAACTGTTGACTCATCCCAGGTGGGCTGGGGTTGGTGAAGTTTTATAGAGGCCATCTGAGGATGGGGACGGGTGGCAGGGGTCCTTTCATGGAGACTGGCTGCTTGCTGTGTATGATAGAGCCCCTGGGGCCAGTGAGAGCAACATGGCAGGGGTGGGTGTGGGGGAACCCAAGGAGGCCTAGCTCCACCTGGGGAAACGATGTCTCTATCAGGGCTGGTGGGCCTGGCCAGCAGCAAGGTCCCTCCACCCCTCCACCCTCGTTCCAATAGTCATCCTTACAACGAGAACAGGAGGCATCGATGACCTCAAGGAATCTATTGAGGAAAGCAGAAGCAGCCAGAAGTCAGGTAGAGAGGAAGATGGCCTCCAGGCCCAGGGCACAATCACTGAGGGTCTGGTCCCAGGGAAACCAGAGGCACCCAGGACACACACAGAAGGGAGAATCTTGAAGGCAGCCATTTTGAAACCCACAAGGAGTCCCGACAGCCTCCTATTTTCCGAGCCAAGGTTGCCTGTCTCTAGCATCGGGGCTGAAGAGTTGTCTTATAACCCAACCAGCCTTAATCTGCTTTCAGTTTCCTCCTTGCCGACCAGGAGTCTCCCAATAAACTAATATACTGTGACTAAAATTTGGATTCCTCACAATGGCTTCTGGGATTGCTACTGCTTCCCATCAGCTCCTCAGAGAGATTTACCCTGCCGGGTGGGCCTGGAAACAACCATACTCTGTCCTGATTCACTGTGCTGTGTCTACGGGAAGAAGTCTAGAATGTTTGGGCTCAGGATCATGCCCATGTGTCAATGAGAACTCGTCTACCCCCCACCCCCACCACCCACACCTTCTGTGGGAATCTGCTTGATAAATATGTGTGGGAAAGCTGGGCATGGTGGGCCACGCTGAGAGCAAGGCCACTTGGAGGAAAAAGGATCGGAAGTTCAAGGTCATTCTCAGCTACACGGCGAGTTCGAGGTCAGCCTGCTACAGGAGACCCTGTTTAAACAAAACAAAACTGTTCAGCAGTGAGTATACAGGTACTTCTGACTGAACCCTTTGGGGTAACCTTCAGAAAGCAGAGCCCCATCCCCCACCCCATCCAACCCCACCCCTTTTGCTACCTTGTATCCCTCTTTCTTGTGTACACTTCTTTTTTTGGGGGGGGGTTGGTTTTTCGAGATTAAAGGCATGCGCCACCACTGCCTCTTGTGTACACTTCTAATCTCCAAGGTGAGGGGAATGGTCTCAGCAGGATGGGCTTTATTCGTAGGAGGTGGGATTTCTTAGCCTGGGACAACCTTGTGTGACCTTGTATGCAGGAAAGAACAGGACTTTGAGACAGAGTGTCATATAGCCTGGGCTGGCTTTGAACTCACCGTGTTACTGAGGATGATTTTTTTTTTTTTTTCGAGACAGGGTTTCTCTGTGTAGTCCTGGCTGTCCTGGAACTCACTTTGTAGACCAGGCTGGCCTCAAACTCAGAAATCCGCCTGCCTCTGCCTCCCAAGTGCTGGGATTAAAGGCATGCGCCACCACCACCTGGCTGAGGATGATCTTGACTTTCTGGTCTTTCTGACCTCCACCCAACAACACTGTGTAATAGGATCACAGGCCTGACGCCATCCTGTCATGTTTATATAGCACCGGGGAATCGAACCCAGAGCTCTAGGTGACATGGAAAGTGAGCACTCTACCGAGTGAGCTACATCCCCCCCCCCTCCCGTGCTGCCTGGGAGGTTGGTTTTGCTGGCTGCTTTGTGTAGATGGTTTGCTGAAGATTCAACCTAGCAAGTGGTGGAACTGTTCTCACCCATCTTGTCTGTCAGAGATGGAGGCTTCTGGAGAGTCTGCAAATGTGGCATTCTGGTTCAAGGTTGGGCCTCCAGCTTGGTGGCAAACTTGTGTTTTTTCAGTGCTCTGATAGAATAGTGAGGGTCTCCAGCAGGGCTGTGCCCGAGGGAGGGTCTCTGTGTATGAGGCTTGGTGCTGAGTGTCTCCCTCCTCCTGCCAGCCTCCCATCTCCTCCACTCTCTGGTGCCTCCTGAGCACTGGTCCTTGCAGTACCCAGAATTCTAGATGCAGAGGTAGTCTAGGAGCCCAGCTTGGGTGGTTGCCCCTGGTATCTGAGTGAGGGAGAGAGAAGTGTCAGGGAGCCTCTGGGAAGCGCTGACGTCTTGTCAGACTTGAAGAAAGAGTAAAACCTCATGGTGGGTGGGGGGGGGGGAAGGGTTATTGAAGAGCAGAAAAGTCTTGGCTGAGAAAGCTTTGAATCTATGGTAGCTAGATAGCAGGGCTGGGTTGTATAGGGCCAGGAGAGATGTGAGGGAAAGAGAAAGCAGGAGTCTGGCCATAAGAGCCCGCAGGACAGCTGCAGGGGTGCAGAGAGAGGATCAGCTGCAGGGGTGTGGTGAGAGGGGCCCAGGAGTGCTGGATCACATAGGTCTTCGATGTGGCTTCTTCTAGCTAGAGTATGTGGGCAACTGGCTCTAGGGCACACAGGGTGGAAGGTGAAATGAATACCAGAGAGAACATCCGTGGCCAGAACAATATGGCGGCGGCCTGGCTATAAGGGTTAGCTTGAGTTGGTCAGGCCCCATGTGGTGCAACCCAGCTTCTCAACCCTAGCACACTGTAGCAGGTCTGCACCAGGTCAGGGGATGGGACCATGACCTTTGCATTCCCTCACATTATACAGGCCTGGCTGGCCCAAAACTCACTCTGTAGACCAGGCTGGCCTTGAACTCACAGAGCCTGCCCTTGCCTCCTGAGTGCTGAGTTTAAGGGCATGTGTTACTACACTTGGCCTTACTGCACTGTGCTCTATGGTTCTGACCAGACTAGAGCCAGCCAGCCTTAGTTCCAGTCCTGCCGTGGAATGAGTGGGTGACCTAGAGGCGAGTTGTTAGCCTTGTTTTTCCCATTTATACAATGGATCTAGACCTAGAGGCGGGTTGTTAGCTTTGTTTTTCCCATTTATAAAATGGATCTAAAGCTAGTGCCCATCTCCTGGGGTTGATTGACGAAAGGATGACCCACTAAGAGTGGCTGACAGTCTCTCAGAGCCACTGCTGACACATCATGTCATTAGATGCTATAGCCCTTAGGGCTCTGAGTGACAGAGTTCAGTCTCTGCTCTGAAGGCCAAGGATGGAGTGGAAACTGAGAGGCAGAGTCAGCGCCAAGGGTATCCAGGGGTGTCCAGGCATGCCATTGATATAAACCCGTCAGGCTGAGGCACGCATTAGGCTTCAAGGCTGTGTGCCCAGGCATCTGTGTGCCCAGGCATCTGTGTGGTCCTGTGCCTATGTGACCAACCAGCTGCACTGGTTCCTGGCATGGACTAAGAGGTGACATCCTGCCCATCCAACCGGAAGGGCAGACATACTGAAGCTGGAGAGACACTTGTGGGAACTCCCAGCTCTTAGCCTCCTCTACTCTGACTCCATCATCCCACATAGAACCCATGCCCCTACTCCTGGATGCCTGGGTGCCTGGGTGCCTGGGTGCCTGGGTGCCTGAGTGCCTGGGTGCCTGGGTGGTTTTTACTCTGCACTTAGATCAGCTTTGTTATTGGTATGATTGTTATACAGGGAAGCTGCAGCTTAAAGAGGAAAACCTGCCAGGTCCTAGCTTAGGGGTGGTGGGCTGGAACCGGAAGCCCAGATGTTTTCCCTGCCCTCCTGTGGGCCTCCTGGTTCCCCATCTAACATCCCTCTTCAAAGTCAGTTCAGACTTGGTACTTCCTGCCTGTCCACCCATCAGCCCTTCCACTTGGCCTGCATGTGTGGCTTTCTAGTCCTAGCTCCTGCCCTGCCCTTGGGGACAGTTGCAGGAGGACTTGGGGAGAAGGCCACCCAACTCAGTACAAACAGACCTGCCACAAACAGCTGTGGCCTTGCTGATGAGGTCGGGCAGCTTGCATGGGACTGAGTGGTCGGCAGCTGCCACCCAGCTCTGGGCTTTCAGCCATTTGGTAGATAGCTCGGGGAAGAGGTCAGGACCGCCCCTCTGCCCATATTCTCCAGGAGCATCTGGTTATGATTAGGGGCAGAGATGTGAGAGGGGCCGGCAAGAGTCCAGTAGGCACCAGCAGCCAAGAATGACTTAATTGGATAAAATGTCTAATGACAAATCAGAACTCTGCAGCAGCATCCTGGCCAGGCCTCAGGCCTGCTCCAGCCAAGCCCTGTTTCAGTCTCTGTCCTTGTTGCTACCAGAGAGCTATCCCCTAGTGTGGTGTCCTCAATTAAGTGGTGATTGAGCACTCACTGTTTGCCAGGCGCTCTGAAGAGAGTGGAGAGAGGCCTGAGGAGCACAGGTCTCCCTGGGAGAGGGCACAGAGTGGCCTTGGGGAGGGGGTCTTGTACAGAGAGAACCACTAGAAGAGCTTTGGTGAGCAAGGCAGATAGAGTCAGAGGCGGAGAGGAGATGGATATCTGACCTAGGACCCGAGATTGATGAAGGCCACAGGTAGGGTGGTCTGTGCCTTTCATATATCCAGGGCAGGTGTGACAATTAGAATGTCACTTCTTTTTTTTGTTTGTTTGTTTTTGTTTTTTCGAGACAGGGTTTCTCTGTGTAGTCCTGGCTGTCCTGGAACTCACTCTGTAGACCAGGCTGGCCTTGAACTCAGAAATCTGCCTGCCTCTGCCTCCCAAGTGCTGAGATTAAAGGCGTGCCCCACCACCGCCCGGCAGAATGTCACTTCTTTGGTAACGGGAATTTGGGCACAGCTTTGGGAGCCTACCTCTCTGAAACGGAGAAGGATGCTTTTCAGGATCGTTTAGAATTAGTTGATCGGTCCCAAGAGAGCTGGATGCTTGGAAGACTTGCCTCTGTGCGGCCACTTGCCAAGCCTGTGCTCGTGACAGACATTACTAATCGATCGTGACAATCTCTGCTGCTAAACACAGATGAGGTTTTGGGAATTCCTGTCTAGAGTGCTTCTGGCTGCCACTAATTAATGGGAGATGACATTTGAGATGAAAACCTCTCTGTCATCCCAGCTGGTCTCTGGGTCCCTTGTTACGCAAGGAAAGTGATTTGTCTGAGGTCAATGCTTGAAAATAGTGATAGAGCTAAAACTTTGCCCCTCAGCGGGACAAGGGGGCCAGGTATGACAACACACACCTTTAACCCTAGCACCCTAGGGACAGATCTCTGCAATTTAAGGCCAGCCTCATTTAGACAGAAAGTTCCAAGTCAGTCAGGGCTAAGTATTGAAATCCTGTTTCAAAACAAACAAATCAAGTCAAGTTTGCAAGGGAGAACAATCTGTTTCCAAGAAGTTTCTGTTCAAGTCTGGAGGGACTTTCAGCTGTCAAAGCTGGTGGGGGAGGGGAGGAGAGTGGGGTGTAGCTCGGTCTACTAGGTAGAGAGAAAAGATGCTGCTAAGAAGCTTCTAGAATAACAATCCAGGACAACAAGCCACCAGGCTTAAATGGGCCAAAGACTTAAACGTTTTTTCCAAAGAAGGTGCACAGCCAATAGCACATGAACCGACGTTCACCCTCACTAATCATTAAAGAAATACAAATCAAAACTGCGAGCATGTCTTACTTCCTGTCCAGTGATTAGAATGGCTACTACCAAGACCCTGGAAAAGAACATAATTTGATGAGTCTATTAAAAAATAGGAAACCTCAGACACCACTGAGAATCAACACTGTCCTTGGGAGCTGGCAAGATGGCTCAGTGGTTGAAAGCACTCGCTGAGATTCAGGAGGACCTGGTCTGATTCCCAGCACCCACATGGCTACTCGCAACTGTCTGTAACTACGGTTCCTGGAGATCCAATGCCCTGTTTGGGCTCCATGGCCACATTATGCTGGCAAATTTGCCAAATATGTAAAATAAAATAATTTTAAAATATACAAATGAACTAGCCCAGTCATTTCACATGGAAAACAGTAAGGAAGGAAACTGAATTACTAGCTGAGCTATTTCTGGGCATATGGCCCAAAGAGATGCTCATACCCTTTGTTCCTCTTAGAAGCATTCGAGGTAGCTAACTCGTGGGAACAACCCATGTCTATTGTCAGATGAACAGATAAGCAAAATGGGGTATAGCAGGGAATAGCATTCAGTCTTCAGAAAGAGCACGTCTGAACCTTGAAGACAATGTGCTAAGTGAAATAAGCCAAGCACAACAGGAGATATAGCGTATGATTCCACTGGTATGAGATGTACAGAATATTCAAAAGACAAAGAGATAGAAACAGAAGGATGCTGTTGGGCATGCAGGTCAGCAGTAGAGCCTGGCGCGTGGGAGGCTCTGAGCTCCAGTCCCAGCATCTTTAACCCCTGAGCCTGATTCTGGTTGGCCAGATACACCTTGTCTACTGTGGACGGCTGAGTGGCTTTAATATTGCCTGTGCATATTTCTGGGCATGGTATGAGACACACGGCTCTCAGTCTGTGTTGTGAGCCTGCTGTCCTGGTGATCGAGTAGTCCCAGAACCAATGATGGTGTACTGTTGAGGTTTTTCCAGGATAGGTCTGCACCTCTTCTCACACCCTCCCTCGAGACCACCACCACTCAAGTGTTCTGTTCCCCCTCCCAGGTCATGATGAAGATCAAGACTCTGTGTGGACTGCCAAGAGGACCAGGCAAGGCTGGAGTCGGAGACCCCGAGAGAGTCCCAGGCAGGTGTTGAAGCCAGGCAAGACCCAGCTAAGCCAGGACCTCGGTGGGGACTCCTTGGCCATCGACACACTATCGGACAACAGGACTAGGGTGGTGGTGAGTGCAGAACTGACATGGAGGGAGAGGGGAGCTGGAGCCGGCCTCGGTGTCAGATATGGAGACTGAATGGATAGGGATCCCAGAGAAGAGCAGGCAAGCCAGCTCCAGGCTGGATCATAGGATCAAAGCATCTCAGAGTTTCGCAGGCTGCCGTCTCTGCCAGGAGAGATGAAGTAATCTGCTCCAGGAGACACAGTGCAGGCTCTGAACTCCACCATGACTTAGAGAAGAGAGAGCTGAAGGTGGTGTAGACAGTTACACCGAGGCTGCCAGTTTAAGCCCCACTCTACCACATTTCTGCCTCTTTAGACTGTGGGGCCCTAAAGGTTAAGGACAGGGCCACAGTAAGAGGCATCTTGAGGTGGTTGGAGTGGAGGAGAAACCAGTCCAGGTGTCACTGAGGTAGACGTTTCTGGGCTTGGGGGTGCGAAGCTCTCTGTGGGAGGAGGTAACTGTGAAGACTGAAGAGCCTCTCCAGCTGTGAGTGAGTGAGTTGTAGGTGTTGTGTACCTGTGGCTGAGGAATTTTGCATATTATGTCCACGGCCCCACAGTTAGCCACTTCTGGTGACTTGTGTCTGGGATGAGTGTGAGCGAGTATTGGATGTGTGGTGAGAAGGGAAGGGTACAGGCGCAGGATACACAAAAGCTACAGAACAAGAAGCAGAAACGAGAGGGTGTACTTGGTAGCATCGATTTCTTTACTTCCAAGGACCTTTCAGAAACGTCCAGTCATCAGGCAATGTTATAGAGGTGGGGCATGTGGCTGCCCGTGTCTGTGGTCCTAGCCGAGCATAAAGCCGAGGCAAGAGGAAGATCAGAGCCCTGGAGTCCAGGGTCAGTGTGGGCAGTATCAGCCCATGTTCTAGTTCTAGACTAGCATAGTTCTCTAGCTCTGGAAGAATAAACCCAGAAATGCCAGGCTGCCCTCCCACCCCTCCTCAACAGCAGGATACCTCTGGTTTGTTGTTTTCCAATTATTCTGTCTCTTTAGCTCCTTTAATGAGTGAGCTTTGTTTAGTTGTTTTTGAGACAGGGTTTTCATGATGTAGCTTTGGCTGGCCTTGAACTCGCTATGTAGACCAGGCTGTTCTTGAACTCAAAGAGATCCATTTGATCCGTCTGCCTCCTAAGCGCTGGGCCTAAAGGTGTGTGCCACCAGACCCAGCACTGAGTGGGCTTTGGACATTATCTGCTTCTTGTCCGTTGTGACAGAGAACTCGGCTCTGATGTTCTCCTCAGGACTCTCTCTCTTCCATCTTTCTTCCTCAACCCATGTGCCTTTTGTCATAGCACCATCATGTGATCTAATGGGGTAATTAATGATTTGATTCTTATAGTATTACTATTTTTTAATTTATTTACTTCTGTGTTGGCGTGGGGGTGCATATACTATAGCGTGTGTGTGTGTGTGTGTGTGTGTGTGTAGGTCAGAGGACAACTTTCAGAAGTCAGTTCTCTCCTTCCACCATGTGGGTCCCAGGGATCAAACTCAGATCATTACACTGTCCCTCCACCCTTCTCTATTGTATTTTAATTTTTACTTTTTTTTTCTCTGATCTTTGCTGTCTCTCTGGCCCTGCCTGCTCAGTCCTCTGTGCTAATCCCAGGAATGCCTTCTTATATGCTGTCCTTTAGCTTCAGGTGTAATTTTCAGTGTGGTCAAACTTGTCACCAAGGGAGCTGGGGTTGTAGCTCGGTGGGTAGAACACTTACTTAGTATTCCTTAAGCCTGAGTTTGATCCCCAGAACTACATAAACTGGGTGTGGTCTCAGCACTCTAGAGAGACAAGTAGGGGGAGCAGAAGTTCAAAAGCATCCTTGACTACACAGTAAGTCTAAGGCCAGCCTGGGCTACATAAGACCCTGTCTTCAATGTCCAATAACAAATAGAAATAAAAATATGCTCCAACATGGTGGACTGCTCTCCCCCGCCCCCTAGTTGTCAGCTTGCACTTCCTCCTCCTCTGTCTCTGGAGTGTTGGAGCCCTGGTCTCTCTACCCTGTGTCTTCCCTTTCCTGCTGGATTGTATGGCAGTAAAGTTTCCTGACAGAGGTTGCCTTTCAGGAAAGATTCTCCTGAGGACATACATGTCTGAAAATTCGTTTATTCTGCTCTCTCTTTTGATCTATTGCTTCACCAAATATAGACTTATGAATTAAAAATAATTTTCCTTTCAAAGCTTGAAGGCATCTCACCATTTTCTTCTAATGTCACTGTGGAGGGCTCTGCTGGAACTACAGAGCAGGGTGCCTCACATCTGTAAGCCCAGCACTCAGGAGGCTGAGCAGGAACATGGCCAAGAATTCAAGGCCAGCATGGGCTACCTAATGAGCCCCACACCGCAGCACATGCACACACCGCAGCACATGCACACACCGCAGCACATGCACACACCGCAGCACATGCACACACCCGCAGCACATGCACACACCGCAGCACATGCACACACCCGCAGCACATGCACACACCGCAGCACATGCACACACCGCAGCACATGCACACACCCGCAGCACATGCACACTGCAGCACATGCACACACCCGCAGCACATGCACACACCCCTGCTTCCTCCCCACTAAGAACTTTGGTGCAGCATATGTATAGTGGCCCGTACTCCTGGTACTCAGGAGGCTGAGCCAGAAGGATTGCTTGGCCTACATAGCAAGTTCTGTCTCGAAAAAGAAAAATGAAGTTTATAAGGTCGTGTGTGTGTGTGTGTGTGTGTGTGTGTGTGTATTCCTTTTAAAGAGTGCTCACTATCACGCCAGCATTTTTAAATCATAGTTGGCTGTCCGGGCTAGTCTGGAATTTCTGTATAGGTCTGGCTCACCTCCAACTGGAGCAACCACACTGTTGTGGGGTGTATCCATGAGAAAAGACTGACCAGACATGGGTTTAGCCAATAGAAAGTCTTTATTGGGTAGATGGTGTCTACACTGGGTGTTTGGAATCCCAGTGTAGCCCCAAGCCTTTCTCAGAGTGAGCTTTTAAGAACAAAAACCATATCCTGGATTGACATACTTCGATCAACAAGAACAGTTAGCCAGAAGCAGAGCTACAGAAGCCAAATAGCAAAGCTGGTACGTTTAGAGGCTTCCCCAAAGCCATGGTCTTTAATGGATTAGATTATGTTTGCATTTTGGCAGGTGGTGCTGTCTACGTGCTGAGTTTTACAGTCTGAATGGTTCTTCTATCATGGAGTCAGCTAGGGTAAGGCCTCGGGGCCCTGTTACACACACCTGGCCAGGATTTAAATTCCTAAGACCTTTCTATGATGTATCTTTTGAGAATCCTTGTTCCTGTGTCACGGGTGAAAGGTCCTTTCTTGTCAAGGGTATTTCATAAGCTTTGAGGGTTTGGGTTATTTGTTTTGTTTCCATTTTCTCTGTCATTTCTGGTACTGTGTTTTCCTTTACCCTAGTCATGGTTTGTCACCAAGACTGATTCTGTCACCATTCATGTCACCATTCATCTAAATGGCAACAGTGCTGGCACTAATGTTGATTTTTGTTGTTTTGTTTTCTGGTTTTTTTTTTTGGGGGGGGGTTCAAGACAGGATTTCTCTGTCTCTGTGTAGTCCTGGCTGTCCTGGAACTCACTCTATAGACCAGGCTGCTCTCAGACTCAAGAGATCCACCTGCCTTTGCCTCACAAGTGCTGGAATTAAAGGTGTGTGCCACCACTATCACTATCTGGCTTATTAATTTTGACTTTAAATGCCATATCAAAATGTTCTTCTCAATGCCTGAACTTTTTGGATCCCTTGCCACCATACCTGGCGTTAATGGCTTCCTCAGCAGGCCCTCATCCCAGCCCTGAGGTAAACTTTCAAAAGACACAGCCCACTCACTTCCCATTTTGTCTTGCTTTCTGGAACATTCAGAACCAAGGAGCAGGGTAGGCGTGGAAGAATGGTAGCTTGGACAGCCAGCCCATGAGACATTCCTAAGGAAGGAACTCCTGTCTCCTCACTCCACTCCTTGTGGCTTTCTTGGACTCTGGATTAACTAACTGATACCTGTTCAGGATCCAGACATGATGGTTGGAAGGGCCAGGTCCCAGTGTGCACAAAGAAATAACCACAGAGACACAAACTTCTGGAAGCAATTGTATGTGGGTGTCTAGAAGGAGTAGCTGCATTCGGTGATCCCTGGTGGATTCAGTAACACCAAGGCTTAAAAACAAACACACATTCTTGGGCTCCACTCTGGACAGATTAGTTCAGAAGCATTGAAACCTGGGAGGTTCATTTCTTTACAGTACCCCACATGGTGCTGGAGAGATGGCTCAGTGGTTAAGAGCACTGGCTGCTCTTCCAGAGGACCTGGGTACTATTCTAAGTACCCGCATGGCACCTCACGATCATCTATAACTCCAGTTCAAGGTATCTGACGCCCTCTTCTGGCCTCCTTGGGCACCAGGTACACATGTGGTGTACAGACATATGAGCAGGCAACACTTGTATACATAAATAAAATAATATAATTTCAAAATTAAAAATCTGCACTTGGGGCAGGGGTGCGGCTCAATGGAGGAGCATTTGCACTCTCTGTCTCTCTCTCTCTCTCTCTCTCTCTCTCTCTCTCTCTCTCTCTCTCT